TGTCCTGGCACACTCAAACCCAGGGTGAGGCACCCATTGCCAGGCCGGTGTTTGCTCCACTCTGACCTTCTGCTGTGCAGAGGGAAGGAAGTATGATGCTTCTTCCAGGTATGGGACACAGGAAATTACATGTTTGAGACAGAGCATTGCTATGTCCTAAATAAGGGTGCTGGCTTATTCCCCAGTGTGGGATTTAATTATGTGCTGCAAGAGTGAATTTAATTACAGCTCATGCTGCTTTGTCCTGGATGGAGGTTGGATGAAGAAGCAGTGTCTGGATGGCAGCTCTTGTCTTTGTCTTGGATGTCCATTGCCAGTCATCCATGCTGCTGCTGCCCCAGACTTTGTTAGCATGGCAGGAGTTTTAATAAATTGCTAACTTGAAGTCACTGCTGTCTCAGTGAGCATCTGTGGGTTTTAGGAGGAATGTGAGGCATAAAGGAAGCACCTGAATTGTAGTTCAGGTTTTGTGGATGGTCCCAGGAGCTGGAATGATGTTTGGGTGGTATCCTCTGTCAGTACACAAATATAATTTCTCCATTGGAGAAAGGGAAGGCAGCAGGCTTGGAGGAGAGGCGAGTCCTTCAGCTTGGAGGAGGCTGCAGCATCCTCACTGCCCTCTGGATGCTGGGAGCCTCCCAGTGGTGCTGCAGCCCCTTTGCAGCAGGGGCCAGGTGTTGGGTTAGTGTCTGCAAGCAGGCGGCCCTTTGACTGTGCTCCCCACCCGTGGCTGCCTGTGCAGGTGTAGCTCATGGAGCAACTGAGCCTCTTTGTGTTGCTCTGTTTCGGAGTCTGAAATTGGGTTTGAAAATTACAGCTCTGTGGCCCTGCCCTGCATGCTGCAGGAAATCTGGGGCAGAGGCAGAGCTGCAGCTCAGCCTGGCCACAGCTGCTGCCACCAGCCTGTCCTGTGCTGTCCTGTCCTGTGCTGTCCTGTGCTGTCCTGCCCTTGGGAAGCCTTGGCCTGGGCCGGACCCTGGCAGCAGGGATGGCTGCAGGGTGCCTGTGACCCTGCAGGCTGTGGGCTCCAAGCCCCGTTTGGAGACCCTGACTGCAATAACTCACATTAGAATCACAGGATGGTTTGGGTTTGAAAAGCTCTCTGGGACCATGGAGTCCAACCCTTCCCACAGCACTGCCAAGGCCACCACTAACCCATGTCCCCAAGTGCCACATCCACACAGCCTTTAAATTCCTCCAGGAATGGAGAAGAAATTTTTTCCAAATATTCAACCTAAACCTCCCTGGTACAACTTGAGGCTGTTTTCTCTTGTCCTGTCCCCTGTTCCCCACCTGGCTGCACCCCCTGTCAGGGAGCTGAAGAGAATGAGGAGGTCCCCAGACATCTTTGGGCTGTGTCTGGGCCATGCTCATGTGTCACAGCTCTGTTGTGAATTAAGCCCAGTGAGGTTTTTGGCCGCAGTGATGACCATCCCTGTTGGTGGGCAGGGCACAGGGACTGGGCTCCAGTCCACGTGAGGGTTCCTGGTGGCCCTGGGCCTCCACTGGGGTCCAGCCTTGTGCTCCCTGGCATCATCCTGGCACCTCCCTGGTGCCCATGGGGTGGGAGCAGTGTGCTCAGTCGGGCCCTGAGGATGGGGCTGGCCCAGGTGCCCTGGCACCAGCTCAGACACACCGTGCTTACTGGGTGGGACTGTCACCCTGTAGACTCCTTGCTTCAGGCTCTAAGTCTAACTTCTAATAATCTAGATTAAGCTGTCAAAGTCGTTAGGTTGTTCCATTGACTGGAATTAGAGGACCTTTCTGTGCTGAGGGCTTCTCTCATCACCCAGCCTGCTGGAATGTTGTTTTCCCTGCCCACGTGCACAAAACTTCCTGGAGTTATTTGAGGAAATCTGGGAGAAGCTGCTCAGTGTTGTTTTGGTTTGGTTTAGGGGAGGGAGGAGGGGGTGTCTATACTTAGTCTAAACACATCTTGAAGCTGTAATAAGTATTTCCTAGCCAGGAAGATTGCACGGAGAGATTTGTGGTGTCATTAGAGGCAGGCAGGAGAGCAGTGTGAGCGCATCCCAGCTCCTGCAGCTGCTGGGGCTGGTTTGATGTGCAGCCAAGCCCCAGTGCTGTGGCCTCTCCATGAAGGGCTGTGTCCATGCTCTGGGAGGCTGGCAGCTGCAGCTGCCTCATCCTGCCTGGCAAGGAAAGGGAAAACGCAGCCTGATATTGGCATTTCAGCAGACAGGAGGATGCCAGGAGTTCCTCACTGGCACTGTCTCCTCAGCTGGCTGAACTTTGGCTGCTGCTGTTGTGAAACTGGACACTTTATTATATAACTGTGGTGCAGCTATTTTGTAATGTCCCTTTTCATGCTTTGGTTGACTCGGGTCAGAATAGTGAAGATGAGCTACTGAGGAGGAGCTGGGGGCTGGGTCATGGCCAAGGGAATTGTGAACCTGGGATGCCAGTGCTGGGGAGCCCTGGTGGTCTTTGCTCTGAAACACCAGCGTTGGCTGCAATTGCAGGTCCAGCAGCAGATGTGTTTAATCACAGAGCAGCAGAGTTTTCAGATCAAGACAGATCGATGGGTGATGCTGTGGGGCTGGGGAATGCCAACCTAGGGCACACAAATGGCTGTTGGATGATGTACACCCTGCCGGTCTGAAAGTGAATCTGTGTCAGACCCCAAACTGGGGACAGTGATGTGTGTTATACCCACATGGGGAGTTGGCTGTGGGCTGGGAATGAATTTTACCAGTGGAAGGGCAAAGCAGTATTGCCTGTAATTTTAGATTCATCTGTTTTGCAGGGTAAATAGGTTAAATTGTATGAAATTCCTCCTCATGGTCTCTGAAACCCAGTTTGGGTGATCCATGGGCAAACATCAACCTCAAATGAATACACAGTCACTCTGAAACTGCATGAGACTTTGCTGTGCTGTGCTTTCATGTTTATGATTCCTCTGAAATGTATTTTCATTTTAGATCTGCATGTTTTGAGCATAACAGTCTCGCCTCTCTTGTTTTTGTCTTGCAGAGCAAGGAGATTGGCCTCCAGATGCACGAGGAGCTCCTGAAAGTCACCAATGAGCTCTACACGGTGAGCACTGAGCCCATCCCACCGTTCCCCAGCCTGGGGAGCACGGGCATTTGTGAGAGCCAGTCTGAGGAGGCTCTGCCCTGGCTGTCCTGCAGCGGGGCCCGTTCCTCCCCTCCATCCTTTGGGAGATCCTCTCTCCTCACTGGGGGTGGCAGTGCCGGAGGCCAGGGGCTGGGTCCTGGTGCCCAGCTGCTTCCCTGGAGCCTGGGGGGCTGTGTGGGTGTGATCCAGTCGGATCCCTGTGTCTGCAATGCCATCATCCCAGGGCTGTGTGGGTGTGATCCAGTCGGATCCTTGTGCCTGCAGTGCCCTCACTCCTGCGACAGTGTGGGTGTTGGATCCACTCAGATCCCTGTGTCTGCAGTGCCCTCACCTGCTGGGGCTGTTTGATCCACTTGGATCCCTGTGCCTGCAATGCCCTCACCTGCTGGGGCTGTTTGATCCACTCAGATCCCTGTGTCTGCAATGCTGTCACCCTGGGACAGTGTGGGTGTTGGATCCACTTGGATCCCTGTGCCTGCGGTGCCCTCACCTGCTGGGGCTGTTTGGGTGTGATCCACTCAGATCCCTGTGTCTGCAGTGCCCTCACCTGCTGGGGTGTGATCCACTCAGATCCCTGTGTCTGCAATGCCCTCACTCCTGGGACAGTGTGGGTGTGATCCAGTTGGATCCTTGTGCCTGCAGTGCCCTCACCTGCTGGAGCTGTTTGGGTGTGATCCACTCAGATCCCTGTGCCTGCAGTGCCCTCACCTGCTGCGGTGTGATCCACTCAGATCCCTGTCTCTGCAATGCCATCACCCCGGGGCAGTGTGGGTGTTGGATCCACTCAGATCCCTGTGTCTGCAATGCCTTCACCTGCTGGGGCTGTTTGATCCACTCAGATCCCTGTGTCTGCAATGCCATCATCCCAGGGCTGTGTGGGTGTTGGATCCACTCAGATCCCTGTGTCTGCAGTGCCCTCACCTGCTGGGGCTCGGGCTCCACGTCCCCTTCTGGCCCTGCTCACGCCCTGGGTTGGTGATTTCCAGGCACCAGTAGCTCTGAGCTGGCCTCGTTGTCTGTTGGACGCCTCCCCGCCCCTGTGAGCCCTGGGGGGATGGCTGAGCTCCACCTTCTGCTGGGGAATGCAGAAAACTTGTGGCTCATGGGGGAGCCTCTGCCCCGGGAGCGCTTTGGCTGCAGAGCTGTCTGTGCCTCCCAGGGAGATCATGTGCTGTTAGTCAGGACACGGCTCTTCAAGCAGGTTTTCATAGCAGAGTAGTAAAAGTCTTTGTGTTGCTTCTGCCTCTTGCCCTGTAGCAAGTGTTTTTATAAAAAAATATTTTATTTGTGGTTTAGGAGCAACAAAACCATATAAAGTCTGCCTTTTGTTGGAAAATTGAGATAATATATTTGCTTTCTTTGGTTGTATCTGTGACTGGTACATAAATAATGCTGCAGTAGGTTTATTCCTAAACAATCATTCTATTTCATCTTTTTGAAAAACTGGCCTAAACAACAGAGCATGAATGATTGTATTTGAAATTTCTGCCATAAATCTCCTCTTAACAGGTTGGTTCCTGCACTGGCTGCTGAAGGATTTGATTGTTGTGAGACCTGCAGCGTGGGTGGACAGCAGATCAGATTAAAAAGCCCGTGTGAGATTTGGGAGTGCGTTGTTGATGGTTGAATGTCACAAGCTGTGTTAGGGGTGGTGACTAATTAGGATTAATTACAGCAGCAGCATGACAGATGCACAGCAAGGAAAGGCTGACAAGGCTGCATAGCTGTGGAGAGCCTGCTCTGAGCCCACCAGGGGACAGGGCCGTCCCTGGGGCACGCTGGGGTCAGCACTGTGCTGAGCTCCCACTGCAGGCCGTGACCAGGGCGAGCACAGGGTGGCTCTGCTCGTCCTCACAGGAGCTGAGACTGCTGCCACTCTCTGCCCTGCTGCGTGTGCTGAGCAGAGCGGGCTGGAATGGTGAAACAAACTGCTTTGAATGGGAAACGGGGGCAGCTGGAGGAGCTGTGTGTTTGCGCTCAGCCTTGCTGCTGAGGTGGCACACTGGCTGTGCCATGCAGGCAGGGGGAGCAGGGAGGGGACGTACTGCACAAGCATGGAGAAAGGGCTGTGGGGCACTCGGGGCCACCTCACGTGTGCTTGGTGCCAGCAGCTCCTGCTCAGAGCTCAGTTCCTGAGCCAGCAGGTGAACAGACCCAGCTGGCCCCGCTCGGGGCTCTGGGGGTGCCTGGGGCCACCGTGGGGCTCAGCGCTGCTGTGTGTGCTCTGTGCCCACGCTGGTGCCCACGAGCAGCACGGGAGCTGTGCCTGCTGGCAAAGCCACACACGGGGCAGGGGCCTGGCTCACAGGGCACCAGGCAGTTTGTCACTTTGCTGTCACACAGGGAAGGTGATTTTCTTGCCTCTGGCCAGGCCTTTACCCACAGCTCATCCGTGCCCTGGCAAGGCTGCTTTTTAAGCCTCTCCAAGGGGAATTCTGTGCACTGGGTGGAAACTTCAATTTTTTACAGGCTTCTCAGGCATTCACTGTCTCAAACTTAAGCCAAAACAACTGCATTGATTTTAACTCAGTCTTGTTGCTGTTCTGATGCAAGTCACCCTGTGGAGTCTGGATGGAGAGAACCAAAGCCACACTGATTTTAATCAGAATGGAAGTGGATGACTTTCATTCTGAAGTGGAGATGCTTATGAATGGTTTTGTGCAGAAATAGTTCAGCTGTGGGTTGAAACCAGCTTTGTCCCTTTGGTTCCTCCTTATGGATTCCAGAGAGAGGTACCAGCTGGAGCTGGTAAAGGCAGAAGGCTGAGGGGGCCTGAGCTGTACCTGACACGGTCCCCCCATTTCTGCTCTGGCTCCTCTGCTGGGTCAGAACCTTGGGCACGAGCTGTTGAGGAGAACAAAGCCCTCGTAGCTGGAGACTGCCAGCAGTGCCATTTATGGCCGGTATTTTGGCAACAGCCTTTATCCAGAACATGTAATTAATATGGAAAACACAACTCGTGTTGTTAAATAACTAATGAACATTGGAACATATTTTTCCTCCTTGGCTGCAGCTAATTAACTGATTTGCAGGAAGGATCCCCGGGACGCAGCTGTGGCAGTTTGTCTTTGTGTCACAGCCCTGCGGGCCAGGGACAGTCTGATCTGATTGCAGGCACCGAGGTGGCACCAGGGAATTGCAGATCAGGGCTGATTGCTGCACTGCAGCCTGGCCCTGGCCAAAATCAAGGCAGATAGAAACAGAAATATGCTCTGAATTTCCAAGAGTGAGCTGTGTGGCCGGGCAGCTGGTGAGGAGCACAGTGAGTTGTTTAAGGTGTCTGTTTTGGTTGGGTAACTGTCCCATAACCTTTAGATTTCACAAACCCCGGCAATTTGGAGCCCTGATACTCGTTGGGTTTCTCTGTCATGTTGTGTCAGGGCCTCTCTGTGTGCTGCAGAAACCTTTCCTCTTACTGCCTGCAGCCCTGGTGTGCAGCACTTTGCTTTCCACTGCCCTCTGTGTGTTCACAAAAAGATGCAGGTGGTGAGGATGAGGAGGGCTCAGCGAAACCCTCTGGTCTTTCTCTTTAAGAAAAGCCCAGGAATCATCTGGTTTATGTGTGTCCTGTGACATTCACTGCAGAAAAGGCAGTTTGAAATATGTGGCTGGAATCTGTGTTAAGAATCTGCAGGGTTTGGAAATGCAGCAGCTCAGGGCCAAGCAGGAGCCTTTGCTCACTGCCCCTTGCCTGTCCCTGCACACTGGGGTGTCCCTGCACTGGGGTGTCCCTGCACTGGGGTGTTCCTGCACATTGGGGTGTCCCTGCGCACTGGGGTGTCCCTGCGCACTGGGGTGTCCCTGCGCATTGGGGTGTCCCTGCGCATTGGGGTGTCCCTGCACTGGGGTGTCCCTGTGCATTGGGGTGTCCCTGCGCATTGGGGTGTCCCTGGCACTGGGGTGTCCCTGCGCACTGGGGTGTCACCCTGTGAATTGGGGTGTCACCCTGTGAATTGGGGTGTCCCTGCACATTGGGGTGTCCCTGCATTGGGGTGTCCCTGCGCACTGGGGTGTCCCTGCGCACT